TATCCAGTAAAAAGGCACCAAAGCATACATAAAAGCATCTTTCAGTCCAAACAAGTAATGGGGAAGAAGAACCTTCTCTACCTTGCAGGTCAGCTTTGGTCAACTCAACTTTGTTAGCAAAAACAAAAACAACAAACAGAAAAAGCAAAAACAATAAACAACAGGTTAGTATAAAGATAGATAAACCAGGGTGCCATCACTTTAAATTAATAAAAATAATTAGTATAACACCATCACAACCAATGCGCATAATCAATACATGCAGGAAGGACAACATAAGCAACAAGGACACTGAGGGACATGGCTACCTTTACTCATCACCACTTGAACAAAAGCAAAAACAAGCAACAAAACCACATGAGAGGGAGGAAATGCATTTAATTCACACACAGAGAAACAATCTACAGAGCAGGAAAAGGAAAATATCACATTTTTAACATCAATTCTTGCACATCTACTGATATTTCGAGATTTTGCTTCATTTGAGAAACACTTGGAATCCATTTATGTATAAAAATCTACTTGACTTTCAGCAGACTAGTCAGGAATATTTTTGTTTTGTTTCTACATCCAAACTCAAGAACTGAACATAAATTTGCTGTCTGTCATAAGAGCACAGATTGTCTTGGCTCTTTGGACAAAGCAGATTCAGTGCCAGCAAACCATAGGGGATTGATAATTCTAGATGATAACCTTTGTTTAGCCCCAGAAGTGAAATTAACAGCGTATGACAAGTGACAGTAAAAAAAAAAAAAAAAAAAAAAAAAAACACACAACCAACACCATCAACAAAAAAGCTTTCCTCTCACAAACTGTTTTATGCTCACAAATTTCAACATGCTTTTAAAAAAGCCTGCATCATCAGGTAAACAGACAGCTCCTTGGGCTTTAAATCCATGCAATCTTCGTCAATCTCATCAGAGCAATCAACAGATATAACAGCAGTGCAAGCTCATTTCTTCTTATAGGCAAATATGATCCTGTTTTCAGCAGTAAAATCATAGCAAAAGAGAACAATGAAGCTAACAAGACTTACTGGAGATCAAATGTAAGCTTGCCGTAAATTGCAGAGTATTAAAAAAAAAGCAAAGCAGACCAAAATAATACCACTGATATCTTTTATTGGGCACAGATTTTTTTTTTATTTTTATTTTTCTGCAAGTGGAGAGTTCATTTTATGAGAAAGTCATGTAGATTTTTGGTTTCTACTACCTTGATTCTAAGTTTTCTTTTACAGCAAGGAAAAAGTATGAGGACAAAGATGGGAGTATGGGCAGCAAATTCTGAATCTTCTGCCAATGAAGGTTACACATTTTTATCATTCTTCACAATGGGAATAACAAAACACCCAAATACTGACCATTTATGGTTCAAAAGATGGATATTTGAGAAGTACACACTCACCCCTTTGTATCACCCTGCTCTTATAAAGTTCTAATATTAATTACTGATACTGAAGAGAGATTGGTAGCTCTCACTTATTTTCTCTTTTTATATTAAAAACCTTAATAAACTTCAACTGGCATGCACAGATGCAAATTTTGTGCTTCCTATGAAGTTTAACAACTCTGAACTGGGAAGAGTTTCTCCCATTTCTCTATACATCTTTCTAGACACATATTCTAAGAGTAATTTGTTTGTAACAAACAAGCACTTTTCCTACCTGCCCACTTCCTCATCTACTTCCTAGCTGAGCAGGAACAAAACTTACATTTGTTCCCTAATTCCAGTAACAAAGTAACAATGGAATACAAAATCACAAAGAATAGGAGAACTGCCAAACTATCATGGAGTAAACAAATGCTCCTCCCCTCAATGGACGAACTCTGATTCTACAGAGAAAAGTCAAGTATCACCAGATTGAAAGTTTCACTACTGAGTAGATGATGGGTAAAATCCTTTTTGACATTATCTTGCTGTGAGATTTTAAGCATGAGATTAGATTTCCTTTTTTTTCCCCACACACTGCTAGTTACGCAAAATGTGTTTCTGATTATCCAGCCTGTGTCATTCATGCTTTTCACACACCAGTGAATTCAAAAGGTTAACTACAATATTTTAAAGAAAGTAGCACAAGATTTTTATTTTACTGCAGGATTTGGAAGATGATTAAATAAGGACAAAAGTCCCAAAACATCTGGAGCAAAATCACCATCTGGTTAAGGAATAATAAATCTCCTTTGTGAGAAGCTGTTTTCAGTGGAACAGGTGAGGAAAAGAAAAAGTCACATTTCTAAAACACAAAGGAAACTGCTTTGTAAAAAAAAAAAAAAAAAAAAAAAGTTCTTTAACCACTGCCATTAGGTGTGTTTGGCTCTCTTTTGTGGGGAGAAAGAGGGAAATGACATAATTTAGAATTTCAGATAGCTCTAGAGCCTGTAGTAAGCAGCACAATGATATACAAATAAAGGAAAGGAAAACATAAGAGAACAAATGGGAAATGAGTATAAAGAAAAGGAAAACCACCCCAACTGCAAGAGGTACCCACTAACAGTTAGGGTAACATTCATTGTTTTGTGGAGTTTCAGACATTCACTTCACTTCTATCAGAAACAGTGACGAAAAAGCATTAAGTCACTTAGTCTTTTGTGGATGGAATAAATTCAAATTCAACCATTCACCTACTACTAAGAGCAGGAACTGAGACACTCAGCAAATGAATCCAATTTTAGAAGTCTAGACTCAAGGAAGAGATGACCTGAAGTTTGAACTGATTTACTTTCTGGGAAGGCAATAAGATCATCTGGAATAACTTCCTCCATCTTCCAACTCCAGCCTACACTCCACAGCGCAGAAATCTTTTATCTCAAGCTCTCCAGCACCACTCATAGTGCATGCCTGACACAAATGGAAATTGTTAGAACAAGCAAGTGGTGAAATGAAGATATAAAGAATGCTGCAATTCAAAAATCAAATGAAACAGTCATCTGGTAACATTTTTATTATTATTACTTTAGCAAATCCAAAATGAGTTGGCAAAAAAAAAAAACATCTTCCTTTCCAGCACTTCCCCTGGTAGTGAACATGGACAATTCAGGAAAAAAAAGCAAGGGTGCTAAATTGCAAGAGTAAGTTCTAGCAGAATGAAGGCTATTATTCACCTTCTTATCTACTTTTTAGGTTTATAGCTGCCTCCAACTTGAACCTTGTTCAAGTGCTTTATAAGAGAAGGGAAACACTCCTGACATTTATGAGAACGAAACAATCTCCACATCCAGGCAGCTACTCTGCATGTACTAGATAGGTATGCAGACAAAGTAAGTGCCACCTTACATGACCATGTGCTGACATTAAGTAGCCTTGGATAATAGGAGACTAAAGAACTGCATTGTGTACAAGAAGAAGGAAATCCAATAGCTCTTACAGTGGTGTCAAATCTTCTGGGAAAGCATCAACATTCTGTTCTGGAGGCACACACAGAACAACAGATTTATCTAATGAGAAGTCCTTGAAGGAGAAAGACTACTCGCTATACAGCCAAGCTAGTTTTAAATAGAAGAATTACCAGAAATCACTAATGTTAAAGAGGAGCTTTTAGTGCACTGAAAATAATCGGAAAAGACATTTTCAAAAACCCCAAATGGATTATTTTTTTCCTTGAACCTCAGAAATAACACCACAGCAAAGATACATTTCTTCTTTTAGCAATGTAGCTCAGCTACAAACTGGCAAAGCCACAAGTACTAAGTTCACTTCCACAAGGAACAGTGTGGCTAACACTTAAAAGCAGCAGAAAGGCAGGGAGAAGAACAGCATAAAGCAGTGGAGAGCTTACCAATACTGTGAAATTGGAGTTGACATTGAGTGGGCTCTTGTAACAGGACATAAAATTCTCACAAACCAGAGTATTATTGTGGGAGTGTGGCAACAGGGCCAAAGTGCAGGAGTTCCCAGCCAACCGGAAGGCACATAAACAATTTAGAGATCGGATTTAATTGCAATGCCAATTTGTTTTTTCTTGAGTACTCAAAAATGGCTCTAAGATGGCACTTTGAGTACTAGGAAGGGACAGTCTTGACAAGTGTCAATATATCAATATGATGCAACCTGAAATCTTGACGTGGTTCATTTGGTAAAGTCCTGTCTGTGAAGACCAGTTAGGAAAACATCTTGAACATGTGAACTATAAATATCTCCTGATAAAAATCTATTTTCCTCTAGTGATTAGTAACCAACATAGCAGACTGGTGTTCAGTGGAGTTAGACACAATCATGACTTCCATTTAACCCAACCAGCAGAACCCTGCACTTTTTTATGCCAAGTATCCCATATGCTATGGGAACTGATAATAGGCATATGATTGCTGATGATGCCAATATTCTTTTAAAAAACTGGAACTAAAGAAGAACAGTAAATTATTCAAAAGAAGCTTCAAGAAACCTCTGCTCTTTACAAGCTTCAAGTAGTCACAACACATTTGTTTCCATTTAAAAAAAAAGTTTTCCAGGTGGTAGGACAATGTTGGGGAACAGCCTCAAATACTTTTATTGAAAACCCACTTCCTCAACAAGGAAATTCTGTTATGGTATGATCTTCACCCTTCAATTACTAACACTCCTTTCCATTTTCCCTGTTTCCACTTGGTCCTCAAAATACTTATTTATCCAAATGTCAAAAAAAAAAAAAAAAAGAAAGAAAAAAAGGGCTTTCTCAAGCACTAGTGAATTATAGGCTCAAGTTTTCTTTCATTGTATTAAAACATTAATAAATAGCTCTAAGAACAGCACAAAAGTAGTCCAACTCAATTCCAATAATTTCCATTATTGGAAAGGTACCTCTTCATAAGGTACTAATAGTCAAGAGAAAAGTTGCTGATAAGGAGACTTATAGTCTCCCCATGGAAACACAAATGTGTGGAAACACAAATGGATTGCAGCAAAGGATTTCTTGAAGAAAGCAAACTATTGAAATAGACAATGAAGTAGACAAATAGATGCACAGGAGGCAGCAAAGAAGAGTAGAGTATGTGAGAGGGGAACCACTCTGAAATCAGTCATACCTTCACATCCACGTTCAATCTGCCCACTGCGGTGCAGAGCATCATTAATTAGATCAGGAAGACGCCCATTCAAGTCCACAGATGCTAGGCAGCCCTGAAATCCGTCACGTGAGGCCACTAGCTTTGGGAGGTTGCTGTACATGCCTTGAGCTAGACCAGCAATGTAGAGATCGCCTGCAGGAGAAAAGGTAAACATACAAGAAGAAAGTTACATAACTTTTAAATTGGCTTTCCCCCACTCCCAAAATTAGTGAGCTGAACATCTGCTTAGAAAAGGTTAAAAGAAAGTAGGATATTGTAAAGGTCCAGAAGTCATTTCTGGCTATTTAACATGCATACATGCTGTCTGAATGGTGCCCTTGATCTACATGCAACTACACCAAATCTTAACATAACCTAAAGCAACATTCACTATTCTCACTTGGAATCCTCACACAACTCTGTATTTTATGTCATTTTCATGTAAGACTGAAGTAATTATGAATGCATTTCCCTTGTATAGCCCTAACTTAATCCAGATGAACTGGGTATAATCTGCTCACTATCTTTGCTCACGCGCTTTTTCCCATCAACACTAGCAATCCATATACAACCCTGCATTTCCAACAGTTTTTAACAAATTTTGCACACATCCCACCCTCCCCTCCAATCATCAGTGCATCCTGTTTTATCATTTATCACCTCTCAATGCAAGATATATGCTGTGCACAGTAGTACTTCTCTAAAATTTCCACTGTTCCTAAGAAACAGAAACTTAATTGCACTTAATCTAGGGGAAAACCTCATATTGACCATCAATTTCCAAGGAAAAAGAAACATCAAAAATCATCCACGATGAACTATTTATTCTGGTATGGAAGCTGACAAACAGAGAAAGAGAAAAATGGACTTGAAAGCCAAAAATCTGAAAATTCATGATTTTCAGTTCTGAAACCCATAATGTTTTTAAGCTTACCGGTTAAGCCCTGCTGAAATAAAGAGAGAGGTGGAGAAATGTCATTCTTTTAGAATTTACCTTTAAGATCCAGATTTTTGGCTCCATTGATAACTTGAGTGACCATCTTAGTGTCCACCTTTAGACTGTGTGTGTTACTGTTGTCTCTGGTGATGACAACATTGTGCCACTGGTTGTCATTAAGAGGACGGTCACTGTTGCCTTTAATAACATTGGGTCCATTCCCGAGGTCAAACACATAGTGTATATAGCTGTAAACATAACAAGAACCAGTTAAAATTAAACAACTCCAGCACTGATAAGATGATAAAATAACATGCAAGTCATGAAATACCGTGTCTCTGGATTAGAAAGTTCTAGTTAGCCAAAAGTGAAGCCCGGTTCAGAAAGGTGAGTTCTTTCTTTTCCACCATGTGTAAGGGTTCACATCTTCAGAGATTACAGTTGAAGTAATCAGATTCTAATAATAAAGTTTGTGGTTTTGTTTTTTTTTTGTGTGTGTGGGTTTTGGTTTTTTTTGTTGTTTTTTTTTTTTGTTTTTGTTTTTGTTTTTTGTTTTTTTATATATCAAGACCCACAAAAAACTTCTGACCGTGCATATAATTATTTTTAAAAATTGGTAAGACCAATTGATGTAATGGAAAGCAATGCTAAATATACTTATTTAGGGCACATATTCCCCAGATTCTGAGTTTTGAGTAACCCTCTTGAAAAGTTAATTGGAAAACTCACTCAAAATATTGTACTAAAATTCACATGAGATCCTATACTTATTCAAACAGCTGGAAAACTGTTGGCAAGTCTTTTTGGAAAAATATAAACTAACAAAGTTTGAAGTCGTGAGACTGTTACCCTGAACTGTTTATACAGTTCAAACACTGAAATCCACCTGAGGATAAATATCCTTTTCAGAAAATAACGACAAAAGAATTCAAACCTCAGAGCTCATGTTTTTTTTTAAATTGATTTATTATTAGTCAACGTCCCACTCACAGAAACCCACGCAAAGTTAAAAAATGAAATGGACTGAACCTCAGTTATATTAAAATAAGCAGGACTAGTTAAGTATGTTTGTGGAATTCATGTTTACAGTGTCTAGATGAATACAAGAACAAACATTTACTCAACTGATAAATGCACTTTTTTCCTTTTTAAAGCTATTGGCCTCGACAAAAGAATACACTGGCTCAAGAGCAAGGTCAGTTCACTCTTCTTGAGCATCACTACAAGGTACAAAAATTTGGTAGCCCACAAGATCTTTTTTCTTTCCATGGAGGTTGCAGAAATGCAACAGGTCAGTTATAGGGAAAGAGATTAAAAAACAAAAGGAACAAACTCAGAGCCCTTGGCATATTTTCTGCAAGATTAACTAGAAAAAAGTGTAGGCATAATCACATCTGAAGGACTTCAAACTTTGTTTTTCACGTACTGCAAATATGTCTTTCCCTAAGTCACAGGGAAAAAGTCAATGGTTAAAATCAGGAAACTTAAGTTATAATGTTTACATCCAACTGCTTTGTCATACACCTCAGAAAGCAGAGAAATGTGAGATTGATATTTTTTTTTTAATGCAAGATTTTAAATTTTATCTATAAAATGAAACCCTGGTAGAAAAAAGCAAAATTTTCACTTACCCCTTGACTAGCTCAACTGCAATGAAGTCATTACCATCACCGCTGTTAAAGAGTATGAAACCATCAGCTGAAGTGGTCTTGAACTGAAAGAAGAGGTGCATGGATGTATAAGCCTGCAAGGTGGCCAGACTCAGGTAGCTGCTCTTAGTCTTGAATGTCACAGGGTCAGCTATAATGTTGCGGAGACCAAAGCGTGCCTTCAGCTCACAGTAGTCAATATCACCATTCTTGCACAGGTCAATGTAGAGCATCCCATTGAACATGAGGCTCTGAAGGTGACCAATAAAGCTAGAAGGGATGACAGAAATGTAACGTTTCTCCGTCATGATCCCTGTCTCAATGTTATGGAACTCCAAGCGAGTGTGATCACCAACCATTGTGCCTGAAAAACAGAAAGAAGAACAGGCAGAAAGCCTAAGCATCAGTAATAGGTTATATGGAGTCCCTCACCCCCCCAATTTCCAGACTTAGAGCATTACTAAATTAATTCTACACAAAAAAAGAAATGACAGTCTTGGTGAAGTAGCTTGACTATACTGGTTGCGAAAACCCAGGCAAAGAGGTTAAGACAGGACTGAAGGGTCACAGAAGTCACAGAATCATAGAATGGTTTGGATTGGATTGGAAAGGACCTTCTAGTTCCAACTGCCCTGCTATAGGCAGGGACACTCCCCACTAGACCAGCATGCTCAAAGCCCCACCCAGCCTGGCTTTGAATGCTCCAGGAAGGGGGCATCTACAAACTCTCTTTTTCCAGTGTTTGATCACCCTCACACATAAATGATTTCTTCCTAACATCTAGTCTTAATCTACCTTCTTCCAGTTTAAAGTCATTTCTCCTCATTCTATCACTACATGCCCTTACACAAAGTCCTTCCCCAGCTTTCCTACTAGGCCCCCTTCATGTACTGAAAGGTTGCTATGAGGTCCCCACAGAGCTCTCTCTTCTCCAGGCTGAAGTTTCCCAATTCTTTCAGCCTGTCCACATAGGGAAGGTGCTCCAGCCCTCTGATCAAGCATCCTTTTCACACAAGTCCTTGAGCTTTAACACACAACAGAAACCATTTACCTCATCAACATTTATTCATGATTAATTATTTTCTCCATACTCAACATACATCCATTATTCAAACTCTGCTACAGATATGCAGTTATTGTTTCCATGAGATTTTCTAGACTATTGTTCTGGATTTTCATGACCAGCTGTTGGCAGCAGGGCCAGGTCTGCAGGGAGATTGCTGTGAAGAGAGGCCAGAGCCATGTTGGCCCACATATGGCCACTGCCTGTCAGTTCCAAAAACGCCCCCTTCCCCCCCCCCCGCCATCTCACAGGACTCAGCTGCGCCCCTCAGCTATGCTGGTAGCACCTCAAAGAAAAGATGCTTAAGAAAGGAAAATGCTGCATGCAAGTGAGGAAGAAGGAAAGAAAAGTGCAAGAATGCCTTGCAAACACTGAGGTCCTGGAAGGAGGAGGGGGATGAGGCACAGCAGGCACCAGAGCAGAGATTCTCCCATAGACCATGGAGGACCACTCCATAGCGCATATTCACACTACAGCCCAGAGGTGACCCCACACCATGCAGATGTGTCATGGAAGAATCGTGATCTGTGGAAGACACACACTGAGGCAGGTTTTCCTAACAGACAGTGGAGATAATCCATGCTCAAGCAGTTCAGATGCAACTGCAGCCTGTGAAAAGGACCCATGCTGGCACACAGAAGAAAGTTGCATGGAAGAAAGAGTTGCAGCGAGGACTGCAATCTCCAATTCAACATCTTCTTATTCTGCTCAAGGAGATAAAGGAGTTGGCAAAGGAAGGAGTGAAACTGAGTCTGAGAAAAGAAGGGGGAAAACATCTAAATTTTTGTCTTTGTTTCTCACCATCCTCCTCAATTTTTACTTGGTAATAAATTATTTTTACCTGTGTTGAGCCTGTTTTGTGCAAGGCATTAAGGGGCAGCTGAATTTCTCATCTCTATGCTGAACCATGAGCTATCATCCTATTTTCTCTCTCCTTACGAGGAGATGCAGGGAGCACAGCTGAGCTCCCAGCAGCTGGCCAGAGGCAGCCTCCCATTAATGCTGATCAGCACAGCATGCCAGATAACCTCAGTCCACTTACAGAACTCCAACAAGATTATAAGACACCATTTTCAATTTTATACACACAACATTGAGGAACAGAGAGGTAAACATAGAAATATGAGTTTGGATTTCAATAAACATTTGGCATCCAATTTAGTGGAATGTATAACTACTTAACTGCTCCCATTTGAGACTCAGTACTTCTAGAGAAAACAGCCAAGATCCTAAATGAGTTCCCCCCCCCCCCAACAAAAAAAACAAAGATACAATTAGAGACTATAGGTGAAGTACCTGACTTCAAGCCACTTTCTGCAGCTTCTCATAGCAACTCTAAGGCAGAGAAGTCAGTTCCTCTGGGCAATATTTGGATGCCTTATTAAAAGTTCCTTTTTTTTTTTTTTTTTTTTTTTTTCTTTTTTTGCCATGCTGTCTCTTTCAATACAGACTAATCAGTGAGGTTCTTAAAAACAAGTCCCTTCTTTACTATATAGTCCCATGTCAGCTCTGTTGGTTCTCCTACTGCAGAAATGTTTTAACACACCAGGTTTAAAATAATAAAAGTCTCAAAAATGCACTAGTTTTATGAAAAAACTGATACCTAGATAAAAACATGATAATTATTTAGAGTGGGATACAGATAAGAAGAATTTATCAATAATATTGTGTTGGATTGCATCTGTCGGTCAATTAGCATACATACACAGCTCTTGACTAACCACTGCAGAAGTTACACCTGAGATACTGAGATTAGATTTGTAAGCTTCACCATGCACTATACCTCAATTTCAAGAAAAACCTCCCCTTTTAATTTGCCCGAGACAGATCCACTGAACTTAGAAGCTTCCTTATCCTTAGTACTGCCACCTGAAATCTCCTTTCATTTCTCACCTAACTCCCAGATTAAGAAACAAAATCTTTCATCACTTCTATTTGTAACATATTGTTGTGGTTTTTTTTCCTGTTGTCTGAACTAATTTTTTATACAACATGAGTCAAATTAGGTGAGCTGACAGTCTCTAACTTGCTTAGGCCTTCTTCAATACTAAATATCCAACTCACCTTTCATGACTAAACACTAAGTGAAATTCTTCAACTTACACTTTGAAAAACTTGGTCACAGTTTAACAAAGACAGTAAAAAGGAAGTTATTAGAAGAAAGCGTTCTCAAGTATTTACTCCAAATACAAATATAAAAATGTAACTTTTCTCTCTTTTTGCTTATTCCCAATTTCAGCAGTGGATCTAAATTTAGAGACAGTTATACAAAGACCTTGGACATGAAAATCAGCAACCCAAGCACATAGATTGGACAAATTTACAAGTAAACGAAAGCAGTCACGTACTCCTGACTATTCAGAAATTCAATCTGTAGTACAAATACAAATGTTTTAAAATTCTGAAACAGTCCTTTATAGGAAATATTTTATTCTGACAAAATGTCAGGTCATAGGCACTGAAAAAAGTCTGGGTACGGTAAGTTTATTTAGACAAACTATCTCTTACCCACTGTTAAGACTTTCTTTAGTTTAGCCACTTATCAAAAGAAAAGTTATAAAATTTCAAAACCAAGAGAATTTTATTTCTTTTTTGGAAAAAAAAAAATCCTTTTGGTTTTCTGTTGTTTTTGTTTTGTTTTTTAACTTCAGCAGGTTGGTAAACTAAAAATGTAGAGATGTCAGGTACCAAGAGCAGGGAGATTCTTCTACTCTTAATTAAATGCAAAGAACAATTTGTGAGAGTGGGGGATACAAAGCTAGGCCTTTGAAAGCTGGAATACACTGGGATAGGAAACACATACAGGGGGAATTAAAAATGGAGTGAATGGGGTTGGAAGAGACAAACTCAGACTTTTAGAAGAGGTAAGAAGTGGGAAAAATGAGACTGGCTTAAGAAAAATAGGACAGCAGTGGCAGTACAGATAGTCAGGAGAAGTTCAGTGAAAGACTGAAAAGAGCATGATATTACAGGACAGAGGTATCTTTTCGTAAAAGACCACAGAGTAAAAATCTGGTATCTTCAGGTCTCATCAGCTGTCAGTCCTAGAGTTCCTCTCATTTGCTTCATTCTGGTCTGCACAGAGTATTTTAACTACTACCACATTCAGCAGCTTGTCAGTTCAGGTGGTAGCAAACAAAGATTTCCAGCCACTGCTGTAGAATTTGGGTGCTAATAAGATGCTGTGCAGAGGAATATGCCTGCTGTACTTATACATCATTTACCACTGATATTCAGTGGTCACTTACAGTGAGAAGGGAGATGGGGACTGTAGAAGAGTTTTGTGATTAAGCAAAAAAATGCTGTCCAGAGGAACTGGATGATGACTCTGCCTTAAGCTGCCTGCAGGAAGCAAGTAAGTCAGAAAGTCCGCAGCAAATTTTTCACAGGTGATCATGAATTGTCTAGATACAGTTCTCCTAGTAGCAGAAATGAGCTAACAGAATCCAATTTACAGGCTTGCTGAATAGTCATACATGTAAATGACTGAGAAATCATGTCAAAAAATTGTATCAAATACACCTAACTTTAATCTGATGACTTCGAAACCTATAAAAGGGACAAAAAAATCCAACTCACTTCATAAAACAAAGGAGTGAATCTAGATACAACTTCTTAGTTCCACATAAACATACTGGTGAGTGGCATGCACAAGGGGGAAAAAACTGCTCTATATTAAGAACAAAATTTAATTTGCCTGCATTGTTCAAAACAAGCAACAATCAATTAGGTTGCTTATTTTTAATGGGGGCCTAATTTAGATTTCTTACCTATGCCTAAAGAGAGCATGAATCCAGTGGAAAAATCTATGTGACCACATCTAAAACTATATCATATATCCCAGGAAGCGGAATGCAGATTGCACAGAAAGTCTTAATGCTGGTTTTGACTTTTGACTTCACTGTGGTGGTCGTCTTTTAATAGATATTTTTAGCAGCAATGCATCTTTAATTATGTAATTCATGTACATATGCAGATCCTATTTTAGTATAGGATTGTATCATTATTATTTATAAACACAGTTTCATGAAAAAATGGACTACGAAAAACAGATGGCATTTCTGGGGACTGAGTTTCAAAAGCAGAGAGTGCCACCTCATGGTACTTGCTGGAAAAAAAAGAAAAAAAAAAACAACTCATATCCAGAGAAACTGTTCTAAAATCCAAAAGTAAACAAGATGATGCATTTACCTGCATGTTTCACTAATTCAGAAAGACCACACTTGAATGATATTTCATTTTCCTCCAGGCTAGTGTTGATCAAGTCTCTGTCAATTCTTACACGACAATTTTTTCATACATATTCTTCTTTGATTCTCTCTTACAAACTATCAGCTTATAGCACAGGATATATTTACTTCAGAGGGAAAATTCACATTAAGTCACTTTCCTGCAAGCCCCTATCTTTAGACTTATTTCAAAATCCCGCTCCTGGCCTACCAGACAATCTCATTACCACTTTACTTACAATTAATTATACTTACACAGTAATAAAAAACATTTTGCAGAGATAGGCAACTCCAGAAATATATATCCTACACTAGCTGTTCTTTCTCATTGCTTTCTGAGTACAAACTTGTAGAGAGGATTCCAGCATTTGGTAAAACAGCATTGGTTACAAGTAAACGAATATACTCTTATCAATGTTGTACCTAGCCTTAATGTTCTTTGCGATCCTATTGTCTTCACTCCCCTGGTGTTTTCCTTAAAAAGCCAGTTTCTACAGTTGTACACAGCTTTGATAAATTTTATATTATTATTCAAAAAACAAAAAACGTTTGTCTCTTCCAGCTCTGGAGAAATAGACCAGAAATATCACATATGAAGATCTTTTTTTCTGCAATGAAAAAAAGATCATTGTAAAATAGTTTGGTCATTTTTGCGCAAATCTCCTAACTTGGGACACATCTTTTCTTCCTCCTCTTCAACTCCATTTCTACAAAAAGCATAAGCTTAAAAATCTGTCAGAGAACGCAAGAAAAAAAAAATAAGACTGACATATTCCGTGTGCAATAACCCAGTGACTTACGGTCCTTCCTAATCTCTTGAAGAAAGCTGAGAGTGAAGTGTTCTATTTGCCCTTTCCTCTGGAAGGCTCTAAGCCACGGGCACAAAAATTTTAAAAACAACGCTAGAGACAGAAGTCCACATTCTCTATCATACCTATCAAATGCAGGTTTTACCACTCAGGAAAAGTTTGTTCAAAGGAAAGTTTTAGAAGGCTTTAGCTTTCATTCCACAGCACAGGAAATTGCCACACTTGCTGCTCAGCAATGAGGTGTACTCAAAGCCTACCTGAGCCTGGCACAAGAGTATGTGACATTCAACACCTTCGTGCTTTTGACTATGTGCAAGCTCATTTGTCTCCTAAGCGCATAACTCAGATATGATTATTGGCTCAGAACCTTCTGGAACTTGGTGAGAACAGTTCTTCTCACTGAACTGAACAATAGCTTTCAGCATAGCACTATTAAGTCCGCAGAAAGTGACAAGTGTCAGGAAAAGAAGGAGAGAAACACAAGGACAGGGGAAATGGATGAAAAGGCAGAGAAGAGGCTGGGAACAGAGATGCAACAGTAACAACCAAAACTACTTATACATTGCACTCACCCTCAGCAACATCATCATCCACCATCAGTTTGAGGCTCTTTCCACGTCGAACTACCCGAACAGTGTGCCACTCATTGTCGTTGAGCTTCTGCCCCGCATAAAGAGTTTCAGGTCCCTTGCCTGCAGATGGTGATAGGTTTGACAGTTAAGAACAGACTCCAAATTAGTTCAATATCTGCCCAATTGGAAAAGTCACCAAAATCAACCTGGTGCAATACAGACTAGGAAACTGGGTAGGTGCATTATAGCCCGAAATCAACCCTCACAAGTACACCCTTCCAGCTCAAAGGGAGTCAGGGTCACAAACATTCCTACTCAAGCAGTGTCTTTCTCCCCAGAGGTCACACACATATCACAAGAGATAGAAATCCCTCTGGTGCTATAATACAGGGCACTGCAGTGTTAGAAAAATGAGTTGATGACAGAAATAACTCTAGGGTGAAGTAATCATTTACAATTTTTTCTCTCTTAAGAACCTTGATTTACACTAGTCACAAGGGATTCTTTTCAGAGTTAATCGCACCGGACTCCCAGTGCTTAAGTATCAAACACCAGGCTGTTTTCAGTCTTTCAGTATCAAAAATAAAGAATTAACTCAAAAAAGAAATTTAGTAATAATAATACTGCAGAAAGGCTATCAATACCACTCACCACCTGGCCGATTGCTCTAATATTGTTTCACAGAGCAGACTGGCTATACTTACACAGGGTGCTTACTGTGCCTTGAGTTATGTGTCAGTAAAGAAAGAGGAACCCATTTCTCTCCAAAAAGCATACCCACAGTTGTCCTTGCAAGCAATGCTCCTGGAAAAACTGCATTTGTGCTACCCATATTCATCCAGTTTTGCTGCTCACCCATCACAGTTGACAGGCAATTACTTAAAACATTAATTGTTCAGATTATAGAACTGGAATAGTTCGTTCATGTCAAATGGTAAGTGAAGAATGGTATGTGCTAAATTAGAAAAAAAAAAATGTGCTCATTTCAGTACAGTACTGAAGTATTTCGACAGAGTTATATCAGAGAAACACAGAATGAGGACAGCAGAACTTTTTGCTCATGAAGTTTGGGCTCACTGCTCAAGACATCAAAAGAGGAAACCAGCAAGGAAAAGAAAGATATATTAAACACATTAAGAGCAACGGGACAGGGATAACATAAGGAACTAGAGTAGTTCAACTTACTGCATTGGTAAAACTAAATGTCAGATATGCAGCTTATATCCCATAGTTGGTCAATTAAAAAAAAAAAAAAATGTTTTTAATTCAGTTATTTTGACCAATTTTCATGGAATGGGTTACTACACAGTCCAACTTCATTGAGAGAATGAAATATACACATCTTGGAGCAAAGGTCTGCACAAAGTGGATGCACCCACTCTGGTCTGTTTGTGATGCACACTAATAGGTCTACACTAAGATTAGCATATTATACAGTGAAACAGAACTGAAGGAAAGGGGTAGGACTCACATCTAGGAACAATAGGCAGTCCAGAGTACACATATTACCTAACCAGCAACATTATGGTAACTTCATCTTCCCAAGAGGGAATATGGGCAAAGCAGGCAGCATTTCATTCAGCTAAAATATAACATGCTAGGGGAATCATACAGGAAGACACAGCAACAGAATGAATGTTGTGTCATTCCCAATGGGGGTCATGCAGTTCATGTGAACGAAAAGGCAGAGTGATTCCCCTTCAAATGAAGTCTGTTGCTATCCAATTTTAACACAGAGCAAGAGGAAAAACAAACAAAAAAAAACAAAAAACAAAAAAAAAACCACCTGTCTTTCTACAGTGATCTGAAAAATGAAGTCACTCTCAATTTAAAAGGCCGGAGAGTTATACTGCAATTACAGAAGATACTTCTTTGACAGGAAACCCATAACCCCTACAGTTTCCCCATCTTTGTGCCAAAGGCACACTGCACCATGAATGTAATCCTGGCAGCTAGATCATAGCTAGAAACCATATGTTCTTTTGAATTAGGCAAATCACTATTTAGTATAGTTTTTAAAAGTTATGCTAGATTTACATTAGTGAGAATACATTGTTTTCTAAAGTGTGCATTACGAAAGGATGCACATGGATGACCTGCAAAATTAATGCCTATATCAGAACATACTGAATCAGTTATTGTAGTTCTAAACACCCATATCTTAGGTCCAAATGACCTCCCAGTGTGTCTTTAAGATGCCACCTGACCAGATAATACAGAGCTTTCTAGGCAACAACTGCATTCTATACGGTTCAGCAGCTCAAGGTGACTTATCGCTTTTCAATTCTAGCCTGACAAAGTGGGAATCGACCAAAAAGAGCTTGTTTGGCTTATCATTGCCATCTTAATGTCCACTGTAACACTTTGAAAAGAAAACTGGAACAATTACAGAAGTTATCTGACTAGATTCACAGAAAATGTATACCATACATTTAGTATACATACTAGTTGGTTCAGAAATGAATGAAAGTTTTAGGCTTTCCAACTTCTTTCCAAAAGAAAAGGTTGCCTACAAATGAGATTGCTATCTAGTTAATAGTTTGTGTTCATGAATTTGAAAATTAAGCACTATGAATGCAAACAATTTCATGTTTACTGGTCCCTGACTTGATCAATCATTTTAACATTAATCAGTCTAGAAAAAATTAAATAGGGGCTTTAATACTTCATGTATAAGCCTCAATTTGTATGCAATAGTAAGCATGGGCTTCTTTTCATTGAGTTTCCTGAACAATAATGCATACCAAAAAAAAAAAAAAAACACATACCCATGAGAATGTCAAAGCAGTGCTTACAAACAGTATTTTACTGCTGTTTAAAAATGCTTTGAAGACATTTATGTACCAAGTAGGTTGACCCAAGAATTTGCAAAATCATGTCCCACTTTTTCAACTGACAGAGCACAAATGAATTGCTGCTCCCTGAATCCCACTGAATTCAAAGCAGTTCCAGCAACTACATAAAGTGATTGCCACATCTGGATGCCAAACGTCATCTCTCTGAGCAGGGTGACTACATATGCTGTTATTACACAGACATTCATATGTGGTCAGCTTTTAAGAGGACTTGAAGATTCCCAATTCAATAGTTGCAGATGCCAGGAAATAAAAAGGAAATGGGTCACAGTGTGGTGGGGATCCAGTTCTCTCCTTTAACACCCAGTGAGACATTTATATGGTCTTACAGCTAAATACAGAAACAAGTGCTTTGACAAAAGAGTTTTTTTTCTCCACCTTTCAAGCTGTCTTGCATGTCACCCTTCATCTACAGAAATGCAAGTACAGGAAGTGGCAGAGCAAAAGGGTAGTTGGTCAGATAAAGTCAAAGATGTGCATCTTCCCTTTGTGTATTGTTTATCAGAAAACACAAGGAGCTAAAAGAATGAGGTAGCACCGTCATAAGTTGGATGCCTGGCAACACTATTTATAGCACTTCTGAGAAGAGGGCAGCTGGGCATTAGGCAATTTTTGCATTTTATTTCATTTCTGAGTGAGAAGAAGGGGCAATTTAACAGGGAAAAGAACCACAGAATTTCCACTTCCACAATAACTGAACTATTAAGCTACCAGACTATAATTCTTATGAATCTAGAAAACACCTGCATGTGTCTCCAGCCTTCTTAGTCCTTCTAGCAACCTAATGATATCTAAGAAATGTCATAGCACTCAGAAACAATTGTTATCTCCCATTTTTCAACTCACATGAGGCAGGCTAGTATGTACTCTCTCAGTGCAGTGGCAAGCATCACCTAATCAGAAGGAGAAAGAAATGTCACGTGCCCCCATTACTTGGACATAATTAGTCTAGAGGAAGACTGAGATTTCCTGAGCAAAGATTACTTGACTCAGCTGCAGCAGCTCCCCCCATGACTCCATGAATCCTTTGAAATCTGGTTAATATTCATGTGCATGTAGCTCACATGAAATAAGTATTATATGCTTTCAAACATGGAAAAACTCCATCCACTTGGCCCAGTATGTCCAAATCTTTATTTCTATATCAAAGGTGCACTGCTGCCAGTTAATAGCTTCGTGCCAATAGATAATAAGTGTCAAGAAGAATGCAATGAGTATGAGCAAACAGAAAGCAGTTAATGCCTTTTGAAAACAAAAAGTTGCTTTCCATCTGGCCCCCCAAAACTCGCTCATTCAGAGCGAATACCTAGACTGAGAGATACATGTAAAACAAAGCTCTGAAAGCATCAGGCGTTACCCACCCTAAGTGGCTAACAACATAAAAAACTCCCTCGTGTGAAAGGCAAAGGATTTTCTCACTATTTTCTCACTATTTTCTCACGGTTGGATTAAAGAGTGTGCCTTCAACCTCAGTGTAGGCTGTAATCATGTGATCCCTTTATATGATTAAATCAGACTTCTTGAAACAAGGCTAGTTTCATTATTGTTTATCTTATCCTTCACTATAGATGAGGTCAAACATATCAGAAGAGACAACCAGAAAGGACACTGCCAGACTGATGAGAATGAGAAAGACTCTTCTTCATTACAATTACAATAATAAATAATTCTACAGGGGTAAACAGTGCTATTTAGAGAAGACCAACAGTAACAATAAAAATTTTTATCTGCATTTATTTTTATCTAAAATATGCAGCTGTCATTTAAGCTTCGCTCACGGTCAGGAAATATTTTTGCATATTTTATACTTTGTTTAGGGATGCCATCAGCACCCCAAGGCAAGGATTTATATTCATTTTTTCCTCTTGCTCTGGGGAGAGGTGTTTAGGTTGTTCTCACTGATGTGCTAACAAAATGTGATTCACCATGAAAAACGTGTGCACAGGCTTGTGAAACATGAGGATGAATCATGGAAACAAGTAAGATAGATTCCCTCAAAGCTTAGAGGAAACTAATCTACTAATCTGGATAGACTTTGAAGAATATTTAGATGTGACTAATTAAACTGCAGAGTTGTCCAACAGAGTTGGACAATTTCTGTTGTTCCAACAGAAATTTTATATAGAGCCTGGAGAAAAAAACTGGAAAGCTTCTACAAGAATAATTAACATTAAGCAATTACTATAACATCACTTGAAAATACTGAATCAAGATGTAATACTCTTATCTGATCTTAACCAAAACTCTACACCTGTTTCTCAACTA